CCGGCTGATAGAAAATGAAATAGTTCCATATCGTTTCCTTTAGCAGTTAATTCTCCAAATTTTTTCTCTGCCACTATTATCAAATGAGTAAAGACCGAAAGTGGTAGATTACTGGCCCAAGGGGATTTGATTTTTTGTTGAAAATTCCTAATGCGATCAGCATCGATTTGGCCAATGTTATGCTCGATTTTCAGTTCAATAAGTTTTTTGTCATATCTCCCGAAATGCATCACCAGCCTCTGGATGAAGTATCGAGATAAGACGCCGCCATTTTCCAGGATTTTATCCACAACTTCAACATTTATGAAATTAGGGCCAAGTCGTACCGCATGGAAGAGAACATGGGCCCGGCCAAACTTAATTATGGCCCATTCCGCACGTACCCATGGTATTGACGAAACTTTGTGTATGATTTTACATGTTTTTATTAAATTAAGTGGACATTCGACGTATTTGATTATTTCTCCGATCAACTTCGGTTCTAATGCCTGTATGTTTACCATTTTTTTTGAAAAGAAAAGGGTACTTGCAGTGTTTATATTTAAAAATTCTTTAGGACTCATCAAAGAAAAAAATGCTGAAATTGAACTTCATTGGGATCGCGAATTTTATGTAGTACATTGTTCATGTGCATATGAACTCTCCGACAAAACGGGAATTTATCAAAGAAAATAATGATAATCTGGAATTTTAAGACAAAGGGTCTTACATTGTGTAACTCAAAATGAGTATTAGCGGTTTCGTTTCTCTTTCATCAATCCCAAAAGGAGCCCAATGATGTAACGATTGGTTCAAACAACCATTCATGTGGCATATTTGCATATCATAATCCAGTACCTGTATGGTTATAGTTCTTAAAATCATTATTAAAAAAATATTTGAATATCATGTGTCTATTTCAATTTTATTTACCAATTATTTTTTTTTTACTGTATACTGTATATTTTAATTTACACAATATAACATATACAATACAGGCAAGAAAAATATTTTTCGTTTTTATTTTCATAAGTTATAAGTTTAAAAACATAAGAATTTTAAAAAAAAACCTATTGTTATATTAAAATAAAATTTTTAAATAAGTTTAAAATTTTTATTTGTTTTTTAATTGTATAAAAAAATTTATAACAATTATTTATTTTAATTTGTTTTTATACAGTATATACAGTATATATATACAGTATATATTTTTTTTAATGCTAAGTGAGGCCTTTCTCATACTTTATTGATTAACAAGTAATTAATATAATATATTTTATATAAAATCAAAAAAGATAAAATATATGATTATATATATTGGTCTGCTATCATAAACAGATATATCATTTAAAAAATCTTTGGATAAGGAAAATATGAAAAACTATCTGTCAAAAAATAAAAAAATAAAAAAACATTTCAGATAGAATCACTATAATAGAAAGATTTAAAAAAAATATAGAAGTTTGATTGGTAGAGAAAATAATTATAAGATTATTTATATACCTCAATATGTTACTCTTATTATGTCATATAAGGCATAAGTTTGTATTTGTAATGAGAAAGATATTGAAGTAATGATGTATGATAAGATTTAGAGTAGTATTATCTTTTGTTCAACAATTCCTTCTATAGAGCATGGATTTAATATATTTATTTAAATTCAAGACTTCCTTTTTAACAGTTGGATATGATTCCAACAGCAATAGCAGAGTACTGGTATAGGCTGCCAGATTACAAAGCACAATTTCCTAATATTTCACTTCAATTTAAAATAAGATTGCTCTTATTTATATTGATCAAGCTTTAACTACCTTTTTTCTTTAACAATAGTATTACTGCTTATAGGATGCAACTCCATTGTTAAAAATAATAAGTAGATTTGTGTAGTTAGGTATTGTGTAATATGGTTATGTTAAAGTAAGTTGGGTAATTAAAGCCAGCTTCAATTGCTTGTTATGTTTTGAATATATATTAAATTAAAAATTATCAGAATCTGTATAAGGCTAGGACTTCTAATGACACCACTTCGATACCTATTCGATATCAGTTCGATATTTAAATTTACTATAAATTCATATAAATGGATCACAACTCATATATTAAATTTACTATAAATTGATATCATTTTGATACCACTTCAGTATCAGTTTAGTATTTTTCAGAGCCCTATACAAGGCACAGATCACATACTCTCCCAATCTAATAAGTTATTAATTTATTGTTGCTGTTATTATTATTGTTATGGCTATTGTCATTGTTGTTATGAATATGTGAAAATTTTATTATAAGAACTGGTTATAAATAGGTCTGAGTAAGTATGTTTTTAATTAAGATATAAGAAAGTTTGATTGGTTATTGGATATATGTAGATCATTGTTGTTATTGTATATGTATGCGAGTTTTTATTATAGAGATTGATTATAAGTAGGTTTAAGCAAATTTTGTTTTTTGATTAAGGAGTGAGATAATTTGATTGGTTGTTAAGTATGTATAAATTTTTTGGAGAGATATAGCTAGATAAGGTTTTTTGAATATTTGAGAAAAGTTTAAAAGAAAAAAATAAATTTGCAAAGATTGTATTAAGACAAACATTAGACCTAGTAACTTTATTTGAATATGTTATTGAAAATATACTTGTGATGTAGAGAAAAAAGAAGAAAAGAAAGGGAATAATTATAATAATTATATATAAAAGAAAAAGTACATAAAGATAAGATTATAAAGGAGGACCAGTGGGTCAATAGCACAGTGGGTAGTGCTCCCTGGTCTCCAAATGCATGTCCCTAGTTCAATATCCACAGGGGGCAAAATGCATAATATTCCTTCATTTGTGGATTTACCGGTTTTTCTACAAATGTCGTACTTCAAACATCCGGATCCTGACCAAATTTAGTTAAGCTGCATGAAGATGGAACCTCTGGTCTTCCCGATGATCACGGGCTGAAAATAGGTCGAAGCACGGAAGGTTGCACGAGAAAAGGCTTCTGGTCTAACTCCGATAAAAGCCCACAAACCCCCCTGGCACGGCAGACTCCGTAGCACAAAGAACACTC